ACAAAGTTTTAAGATTAACTTGTTACTATTTTGTATGCATGTGTTAGGTTACAAAATTCGTAGATAATTACTTAAGTATTCTACATAAATAAAAAAATAACCAACAAAATTAGTATACTTCCTTTCCTTTAATATATGTACATACACAATAGTAGTCTATGGCGATTTTGAGTGAATTGTAAAAATTATCTTCATGATATATAACTTTCCAATCATTAATATAAATAAATTTTTAATTATAAATTTTTACTTATTATACAGTTGGAATTATTTTCTAGCACTCAGTATATTTTACATGGTCACTGACAAACATGTCTTCTACAACTTTATGTTTGAAAAAGCCATAAACTTATATTATAACATGTGAGTATATAACTTATTATGATAAATTGCGCAAAATGTTTATTTGTGTAATTCACATTATACGGTATCGTCAAAACGTAAAGAACATATTATTTTTTCTTTGAAACATTTATTAACTACTTTTATTAACTAACATGAGTGTACTTTTTATACTACTCTCGTTTGTTATTAGTTTATCACGTGATACTTATGCTACCCAATTAAATTTTGATATTCTATGGAGCAAACTACTATCTGAGATGCCTACGCACAAAAATACGTCTTTCCTAAAAACGTTAACGACTGTGATAACTTCTTGGACACACGTTGGTTATCCTATAGTACAAGTAAACCGACACAACAATACACGGACTCTTGAAATACTGATTAGAGACTGTTTTCTAAGTAATATGGAAAAATCTTGTGTAAGCACGTGGTGGATACCTGTGACCTATATAACAATACAACAGTCTAATATGACATATCAATCGTGCTTACAACCAGACGGAAACAATATTATAGTTCCGAATATTGAAAAAGATGATTCTGTCCTTTTTATGGATGTACCTGGTAATATTTTTATACACATGAATTATTTAGTTTTGTCTTTTACTCTTACATAGTACCTTTAAAATTTCCGTCAATGTATTATATTTACTGTTTCTTGTTTTATTGTTTTATTTCTCTTTCTTTGTTTTTCTAGTATTCTCACTGTTTTCTTTTGTCTTTTTTTCTACTACTTAATTGTTGTAGGATACCGCGTCAACTACGATCGTAAATCTTGGGAGAATATTGCTCTCTTCTTAAAACGTAAAACGTCTAAGATTTTATCTGACGTGTCAGTAGCCCAAATTCTCGACGATGCTTTTTATTTTTTAATACAAAATACAGATTATAATGAAAAATTTGATTTAAATACTACTGATAATCTAGACATATTTTTTGATATTGCAACCAGTGTATTTCACGTGGACAATTCCTACATAGCTTGGTATCCTATATTTACTGCGTTTGAATACTTCTCAAAGATGTTTCCGTTTCCAGAAAGTGCATACATCAAGGTAATTAGTACTAAATTAATATATCAATTAAATGCTACAAAAGATACCATAAAAATGATAATTGAGTTTTTTACATTATACTTAATATATAGTCTTACAGAATTTTATTACATTAATTTGTACTTTTGCAATCAATACACAAAACATTTTGTATCATAAATTATAAATAAACAAGTTGTTTTAAACATAAAAATCCAAATAAAAAACAAACACAAAATAAAACGATAAATTATATATTTTAGATGACTTGTTTGTTAATAACTGTTTAAAAATATGTTGTAAAAACCTTTGTGATACATTAAACAAATAGTAAATATTACTTTGTACATATCTGACGTTTTCAAACATGTATAAGTTTCAGATAAAGAAGAAGAAACATTTACATGTACATAAGCGTTTGATAAAAACATTGAAATATGAAATGTATTANCTTTAAAAAATAACTAATTTAAAACTTTATTCTTACGTAAATCTTTTATAAACATGTATTAAATAAACTTAAGTGTAAGTGTTAATGTATAAAACAAACTCATAAAATTTGATTTATTAGGATAGAATTCTGGATATATTGAATACGTTTCTTGAGTATTCGCTTGCACCTTCTTCCGAAAATATTGTCATTAATCAGTTCTATTACGAAGTTTTAAAATGGTCGTGTATTCTCGATAGCATACAGTGCAAAAATTTTGTTATGGATGAATTAACATGGCATATAGAAAATCTTGCACAAAACAGGTACGTTATTGACTTAAAAGCAAACTAATAGTATTAAAGATGTTATCTGATTATAGTTATGTTGTTTTACGTTTATATACGATTTAATCACATAAACTTTCCATTGTTCTTATTATTGTTATTATTAGTACTTTTGTTGTTGTTGTTGTTCTTGTTCTTGTTATTGTTCTTGTTCTTGTTAAAAAAAAACATTATCGCGACTAGTGATTTCTTTATTTCTTTCTCTCTCTTTTCTTTGAGTAAAGTTATATATATTGTTTCTTTGCAGACTTTTGCAAAGTTGGCAGAAATGGATATTTTGCCAGAGTTTAATGGTAGAAAATTCCACGTATGAGAACTCTTCTATATGGTCTACATTAACAACCATGTATGAAACTCAGTCAAAAGAAGAAGAAATGTTTAACTTTTTACCTTGTTCTAGACTTCGCAGGAATATTTTCTTATCTTTTAAATTCTTCGCTACTACTTTTCTACCATCTTCTGAACGTAGTGTAGATTTAAAGAAAAGTGATAGAGTTTCTTTTCTTTTTAATATTATTGCAACGCATTCAAAAACTGTTGCATCGCTGACGTCTATACTAGAAGAAATACGTTCCATAGAAAGGTAAACCATTTTTTTGTATGTATAGACTTTTGCATATTTACATAATGTATGTACGTTCTATATAAACTGCATATGAAATCCATTTGCCGCATATACAATGTTGTATTATACTATATACTTAATACGTAAACAAATAAATTTTACATATTAATTGTCATTGTTACTTGTGATAGCGACATTAACATAGGTGCACTAATGAACTGTATTATTAACAACATATATTCAGACGAAAGCTTGTCGATGGTACGTATAGGAAGTACTATATATAGTCAGTTGCTTTATCAATATATATGGTTTACTTTATCTAATTTTACATATATAAACATTTACATATTTCGGTTTTTATACATATCATGTATTTATATACGTAAGTATGGTAGAGGTATATTGTAGTTATATAATATATCTTAAAATGGTTTTGATATAATAACGTTAATATGTAATATTATGTGTTTTTACACAATGCGCACGCTCATCACATTCAATGCTAACAGCACAAAATATTTTCAGGTTACCGATGGAAAGTTCTTACAAATACTGAAAGACAGACATCGTGCGGTAAATGTTTTTATAGACTATTTGAAGTAATCTATAAGTAGTGTTTCTTGTAGTTTTACGATTTTTTTGAGTTTCTAAATGTAAACTATTTTCTATTTTTAAATTGATATTTTGTTTGTTGTTATAAACATATATTTTTTTTATTTAATCTCTGCAAACATATACAAAATTATTATATAAGTTATTGTAATTTGTTTCAGCCATCTTATGTTATTTACGCCGTGAAAAAAAAAGTTGATGATCGTCGTGCTTTACTAATTAAAGTAAAAAATAACTTGTTTTCAAGCGATAAAATGCATTTATTTACAGAGATTTAATGTTAGACTTGTATACTCGTTTTATTTATCTTAAAGGACCAAATGTTATCAATTACTTGTACTTGTTAATACTTATGTAAATTGTGTTTAATAAGAAAAGTTTTCTTTTATGACAACATAAAATATTTATTACTCATATTTAAAATCGGTAATACAAGTTACAGATTTTAATATAGTTAATAATTCGCGCCAGTTGTCTACATAAGAAAATTAGATCTGTATTAAAAATAAATACTTTATAATAGTTTATTTGATTAAAGTATTGTTGTAAAGTTAAGTATTTATTAAGCATCTTGCACAAAACATAAATATATATTAAGTACATAGTAAAACAATACAACATATATACCTAAGATTACGAAAAGACAAAAAAAGTTATATATTATTTAATGTTAATTTTAACAAAATTTATTGATTAAGACTATTACTAATATCTATACAACAATAAAAGTTACGGTTGTTTTACTCTATTATGTTTTAACTATAAGATAATTTTTGTTATATAATTTTTATTTATAATAAAAATAACATTTGCACTTCATTTCTCTGGTTACTTTTTAATGTTTCTTAAGGTTTTACCAATGTGCACTATTTTCTACCAAATTTATATGTGAACATATTTATATATAATATATTATGATCCTTTTTTTTTGCTCTACTACAAATACTCTAAGAATAAATGTGTTACCACAAACGGAACTTTATTGCTTGCTACCTTTATCGTCTATTTTAAAAGTACAAAGTTTCAGTAATTTTACTCTTATAATAATATTTGTTGTTATAAACTTTCTCTACACAGAAAAAAAAGTTTTGCTATTATATGGTTAGCAAAAAAAAATGGTTGACTCTACGAAATATTTTGTTTCATCAACAAAATGTTTTGTTGGCAAAACAAAAATTTTAGTAAACTTAACAAATGTTTTTTTGCTGGCCATATAATAACTAATTTCTTGCTATTCTAGCAAATCTTTTTTTTCCGTGTAT